TTTAAAAGATAATATTTTTTGGTAAAAAATGAACAATTCGTATTTTACTTTTTTTTTCAAAAAACATATATTTTTTGAAAAATATTAGCGAGATAAGTTGTGTTCTACTAGTTTTATTGATATTAGTATATTAATGAATAATTTATAAAAAAATTAATTCATTTAATACATTGATTAAATAACATGTAAAATATCTAAATATTAAGATTAAAAATGCAGATTTTAATAAGAACTAGTAGATGCTATAATAAAATAATTTTGAAAGTACATGATGTAGTAAGAAAGTTACATCACTATAGTACATGTGGACAACTTACGTGGACAATGAGGTGGCATGGAAACCTAGTATAATGGTAAATTTAAATCAAAAGGTTATTCAATGCTATAATGGATAAATTTTTCAAAATACAATATTCTAATAAAAAATAGTTTGAAAGTACATTGTTGTAATAAGAAAAACTGAAAGTACAATGATATAATAAAGAAATTTATGAAAATAGATTGCTATTTTGTGCATTTTGCTCTAGATTTAATAATGAAGTCATTTATTTTTTGTTTAATAATATAATTTTTTTATAAAGATAATAAAATGATTGTCTTAAATATATTTTAGATTTGGTATATTTAAGATAAGATACCTATCCAATATTTGATTATGTTTATCTGCAGTTAGTTATACGTATTCAATCATAGAGCTTTAATAAGTTGTACATACGCATAATTTACTTGTAATATTGAACTTTAAGTAATATGCATCAATAAACAATATTTAATGCATAAAAAAAGTTTTTAAGATTTTTTGTCAAATAATTTATAATATAACTAGAAGGGTGTTCGTGCAATGCAGCGAGATACATTTTCGTTTTATTGTTTTGTTTTATTTTTTGTCTATGTTGATATAGTACCGGTTTATGTGGTTTTGATAAAGATAATGTTTTTACTTTTGAATAAAAATATATTGGAAGATATTATAAAAATTTGAAAAAAAATATTGATATTAATATCAAATTAACTATTTAAAAGTTCTCATTTTTTGTACACTTTTTTTTTGTTCAATTTTTTATTATAATTTAATTTAGATTTAATAGCGAATTAATTTATTTTTTGCTTAACAATATAATTTTTATAAAGATAATGATTTTGTTAGAACTCAATAATTATCCTAATTATATTTTAGAAAATTTATATTTAAAATAAGATGTTTATCTTGTATTTGATTATGTTTATCTGCAGTTAGTTATACGAATTCAAAATGGTGCTTTAATAAGTTATACTTACGCACAATTACTTGTAATCTTAAATTTTAAGTAATATGCATTAATAAACAGTACTTCATGCATAAAGAATGATTTTTAATAGTTTTTGTCAAATACTTTATAATATAACTAGAAGCGTACTCGCGCAATGCAGCGAGATACATCGTGATTTTAATATTTCATTTTATTTATTATCTCAGTCGATGTTATAATATGACTTTATGTGATTTTGA